AAGATTTGCATATGTGTACTTTATTTGTATTAGGTTAGAATTAATCTACTTACTTTGTATGTTAGAGATTCTTAATGTAATGATGTAAAAACAAAAGTTTAATAAATGTCACGCATTTAATGCCTTTTGCAAAAAAAAAAAAAAAAAACAATAAAATTCATATGTGTATTACAATTTAACTTCTTAAAAAAAAAAAAATAAATAAAAATAATAAAAAAACTAATTATAATATAAATGGTATTTAATATTGTTTTAATGATTTTATTTTCTAAAATATAGTGACACTTTTTGGAATAGCTAGATTATAATTTAAGATATATAATAGTATTAATAATATATTTTCTTAATAGTTGTTTTTTGAGTTATTGTTAATAATAATAGTATATATATATTTATATTATAGATATTTATTATATATGATAATGTAATTTCCAATTAATTTATTATGTTTTTAATAATAACACAGTTTTTGAAAATGTTTAAATTCAATTTTATTATATAAATAAATAATAATAATATAGTTATTTATATTTGAATATTTGATAATAATTGAAAAAAAAGTGAAAAAAAAATTGATTATTATATAAAAAATATTTTGGATTAGATATGTTATACTAATTTATTTATTTAATTAAAATAAAGTACTATTTTTAAAAATAAATAGACTATTTTTAAGAATAATCAGACTACTGTTTAAGTAAATAATAGTATTGTTAACATATTACTTAGATTATATTTTGTTGTTATAATTGTTAATATTTTTGTTAATGTATTAATTGATTTATTTTTTTGTGATATAATCTTATTTTGATTAATATTTTTAAAATAGAATTTGTTTATATTAATTATTGCATAGTGTTTTAATTATATAGAATTGCTTTGAAATTTTGTAGTATTTAATTAATTGAATTTGAAATGTTAATTAATTAATAGAAGTAAACTAATTATGGTTTTTTAATAAGAAATTTTTTAAGTGAAAATTTTTAGTTTTTAATAATATAGCAAAGTATACTAAACAATAGTAAAAGATAAGAATTGAATATATTGTTGGTTCTCCAAGTTAATAATATAGACAATTTTAATATAAAGTTTGATTTTTTGAATTAAAAAGAAGTTTTTAAGCAAAAATATAATTATTTAACAAAAGTTGTATATTAGGAAAAAATTTGAGATAATTTCAAGAAAAATTTATAAAGAAGTAATTGTTATAAGTTTTTTCTCATAAAATTTAAAGAAAAAGCAAAACTTTCAAACTTGATTTTTTTTAATTAAAGGTTTTATTCCAATGCATCAATATACTTCTTTAATTTTCTTGAGATTTTTATAATGAAAAAAGAGAAAATATAAGAGATTTTTGAATATTAAAAGGCAAAAAAAATATTTAAGAAAAAAGTTATATATAGGAAAAAGTTTTTTTTATTATTATCAATTTTTTGTTAACAAATATTTTATATACTTAAATAATTTAACTTTAATATAATACTATAGTATATACCCAGTAGAATTACAGTATAATAGTAAATTATTAATATATTAGTATTAGTATTATAGGTAGGATTCCGAAAAGTACCAAACTGGTATTGAACTAGTATCAAAATAATACTGATTTATAGTAAATTTAATATATGGGTTGTGACCTACTTATACGTTTTTATAGTAAATTTAAGTATCGAAGTGATATCAAAGTGATATTGTTAGGAGCCCTAGTTATAGATTCAATTTCAAGTAATAGTGGCAAGCTGTGGATCTATTTCAGTAAGCCAATTATTAATAAGTAATAACTATCACTAAAGTATCACATATGCTATAAATACTTACTGATCAATTCAAACTTTAAAAATCAAAGAAATTGGAAACAATATATAGAGTTAATAAGTATTAGTTGCTTGATTACCAGATATACATATCATTAAAGACTATAATTAGAAACTTAATTTTCTAAACTTTTTAAAAAAAACTTTTTTCTATTTATCATATATTCCTTAAAATTTTCTTTTTTAAGAAGTTTTCTTTTTAAAAAAAAAACTTTTATTAAAAAACTCATAAATATATTAGTTAGTAATACTATACTATACTTTCTCTAGAAATATAATTTTTGTTGATAAAGAAATCATAAAACCAAAAACAGACTCCTTTATTCTTAAACAAGTTACTTTGAATAGCAAACTGAAAGTATTATTAAAATTTATATTGGCTCCTTAATAACAAAAAGTCAGATAGTATTTCTTATATAACTAAAAAATACAAACCAACAAAGCATAACAATAATATTGATATAATAAAATACACAATTACAAATGGAAATAAATATCAACTTTCTTTACTTTTCTTTATAAACTTTACTTGTGACACAGTATTCAATTTTTTTTTTAGTTGGAATTAAATATTTTGCAACTAAATTTTATTTAACTATAATAGATAGCAATAATAGTACTTTATTCAAAACAGGAAACAAATAATTAATTCTAGTTAGAGATTTTTTAAATTAAATAAAAATTAACAAGAAGATATAAGAAATATAAAACATAAGCCAATTATGAACTAATATAAAAATTATAATAGTATATAAAACAAAAGTTTTTTAAAAACAATAAGTAGTTTTTTTTCCTTTGTAATATGTTTTATAGATTTTAAGCAGGTTTTTTTATAAATTATTATAGATATTCACATATAAACATACATATATATCTCTATTTTTTATTTTTTAATAGATCTAATTAGAACCAATAGAATATAACTAGTTTGTGATTAACTATGTCTAAATGGTTTTCTAAATTCCTGTTTATTAGATAATAAATAAAAACTTAAAGATATATATTCTAACAAGTTAATTCTTCATCTATATTATTAAAATTTCAACATTAATAATATAGAAGGCATAAAAAATAACAAGCCAACTAATAGATAGTTTTTTTTATTTTAGATACAGAGGCTTACTATAAATTTAGAGACAAAATATACAATATATAAAAGTTTTTTATTTTTTTTAAAAAAAACATGATTAAATTTTTGTCAAAATAATGTGACCTGTATAAATATTACACAATATTTAAAATAGCTATATAAATAATATAAATTTTTAGAATTGATGAAAACTGTGGGTCATACTTTTTATCTCAAACTGATCAGTGAGTCACACTTTTTCGTTCTAAACCAATCGACAATAGGTATAAATAAGGAGCTAACAGCCGATCAAAGAGGTGCCATTATTTATGGTTACCTTAAAAAAAATTCGTATTATCATATTGCTGATTTTATAAATTGTGAAAAAACCATTATAGGTAACGTTATTAAAAAGTTTCGTGAAATGGAATCTGTGAATTCACAGATAAAATGTTCTGGGTGTCCGAAATTACTTATCTCTACCGATCAGTTTAACCTCAAGAAACTTGTAACTAATGAAAATTGTCATCTAAACCTTGTTCAAGTCACCAATCTTTTTACTATTAAAAAAAAATTCATGTTTCAAGAAGCACTATTCATTATACATTACACGAAGAAGACTTAAAGTCTTGCATTGCATGCCCCAAGCCATTAATCACCCCAAAAAACATAGAAAAAAGATTTGTCTGATGTTATACTTATAAGCACTGGACTGTTTGACATTTTTAGTGCATTTTATGATCTGACGAGTATACCTTTCATCTTTTCCAAGGGTCAACTTGTTGAGTATAGCATGAATTATATAAGGAATGTAATCTTGAATATCTAAAAAGCACCATTAGTAATAGTCCTGGTTGTATGTATTGGGATTATTTTTCGTGGTATAGACCTGGACCTCTTATCCCATTAAGCTCTTCTGTTATTGGTGCTTTGTATGTCAAAATTTTTCGTAAGTATACTTTATCCACTATAAATGAATTTCTGGGAAACACAGATCGTGATCGGTCATTATTTCAACAAAACAATGCAAAACCACACATTGCCAAAATTACTAAGCAATTTTTCAAAGACAATAATATTAGGGTGATGGATTGGCCTCCTCAGAATCCAGATCTAAGCCCTATAGAAAATCTTTGGCATGAGGTCAAGAATTCCATCTGTTGTAAAGCAAAACTGAATAATCTTGACGAACTCAATGATCTTATTTAACAAGTGTGGCACAAAATACCATTTGAGTTATGCTGATACTTAATTATTAGCATGCCAAATTGTATTACTGCTTGTATTATGGCTAAAAGGAGGCCTACAAAATATTAAATGTTTTTTTTTAAAAAAAAAAAGACTTAAATATCTTTGGTTTTATAGAAAATATTAGATCAGAATTGATATCATAATAAATTTTAAATGAATGAGTCAAATTATATGAAATTTAAATATGACACATTTTATAATAAACTAAAATTATATTTAAATTTTTTAAATTTATTAATTTATTAAATTTTATATTATTTAAAAAAAAAAAGTGTTCCTAAATTTATGATAGGCCTTTATAGTTTAGAGAATAGATAGAGTTTGATATTTGTTGCAAAGTATATAAAAGAACTTATAACAATATTCAATAAACAAGATATATACCAGTTGTTATAAAAAAAATAATAATAATACTATAGTATATATTATATTGTTGTTTTTTAAAAAATTAATAAATACTTAGAATTGCAATCTGATTTAAAGATAAAAAACAATAATTTTAAAAAAATATAACTTAAAAAATATTGTTTATACAATAGGTTAAATAGCTTAATTAGTTATATATAATAAGAAATAAGCATATTACAATTATAAAAAGTCTTAAATTTTATTTAAACAAAAAAATAATCTTTATAATAATAAATATAATAAATAATAATTTTTTTTCCTTTTTATAATTTCTATTAAAAAAAAAACAATAATTGCAAAGGTAATTTGCTGAATTTTAATTTTATCCAATAAATCAAGCTTATAAATACAGTAATATTATTGTTTAATTTTTTTGATAATCAAGTGTCAACAATCAAGTGACCTTGTCCAAAATATATAAAAGTTCCTGATGCAACTTTTAACTTGTCAGCCCATAAATGGAAGACGATATTCTTTTCCAGCCTCGTCGTTCAGCACCCACACCGTCGCCTACTTCGCGCAGACAACGTAGCCTGCCTCCAAGCCTTCCTTCTTTCAGTTCGTCTTCGCTTTTTCACCGTACACTTCACCCGCGTATATCAAATAAACACCATGACATAACTAGGGCAAAGATCAAAACTGCTTTAGAACTAAAAATGAGGGAAGAGAGGTTGAGAGAGGCTTCGGGGCGTGGGGACTGTGACACTGGTAGAAATATTTTTATTTGAGCAGTTATGTTTGATCATGGTAATCATTTGTTCTGACAAAATTATTTACATATCTTTATAAATTACCCTTAAAGTTATTAACTTACTTTCTAACAACCCGCATCTTGATCTTAATAATCCTGATGAGAAAGGAAGGACACCTTTACATTTTGCATGCGCTGGCGGGCATTATGAATGTGTCCAACTTTTAATTAAACGCGGTTCAAATGTCAATGCTGAAGCTGATGTCGCGGGAAATAGGCCTTTGCATTTAGGTAATTTCCTGTGTTCTTGTTCTATTATTGTCAAGAATTGTTCTGACTACTGCATCGTTGTTTTTAGCCATTATTTCTAATAAAATAGAATGCGTCATAGCATTATTAGAAGCAGGTAGTTTCTTGGGCACTAAATTTTATTTTAACTATTTAACTCATTGTCATTACATCGTCAAATTTAGGGGCCAAGATAGGCAAGGATGATGAATTTCATCGTTCGCCGTTAGCGGTTGCACGATCAAGACTTAATATATTAATGAAAAATAGTTTGAATAATTCTGAAAGCGTGGATCCTGAAGAAATGGCGGAAGACAGTAATTATATACCTGAAAATCGAGAAATATTTGAACAGGTTTTACAAGTAATTACGCGAAATTTGTATAATTGTCATTTATAAATACTAGCTCCTTTCTAAATTTCTCTAAATCGTACTGTGATTTAGATAATTAAAATTTTGCGACATTACCTAACTCTGGAAGATCGAAGTCTTAGCAATGCCCAAGATTCCATGGATGCTGACATTTCATTTGTGACAAAAAGTTTAACATCTGCATCCAACATTGAATCTCCGATCAGTACTATCGAAGCTTTAGATGATTTGACTTCTCAGTTATCTCAAATGGTCATCTCTACATCAAATGGTGGAAATAATGATTCACATTTTTCATTACCAGAATCGGCAGTTTTGAATAAAGTTCAAAACGTCTTGGATAATATAATAAAATATAAAGCCTAGCATAGGAAAATTAACAACCACTGTGATATATGGTTCGGTATATAATACCTATTTACAAGGAATAATGGTAATGTTATAATATAATCTAATTCATCATTACAAGCTCTTAAAATTAGTAATTGTACATATCAGAAAATTTCATAAAAAGTAGCTTCGGTAAAATGGTAGATGGTGAAGGCAAAAAGGTTTTTAAAGATTAAATAAAGAGTTTATTGATTATTAAAATATAATGTATATATTCTTTAAACGATTGAGATATCAACATATTTGACAATTAAAGAGACCTGTTAAAATTTTTGAAGTATTCTCATTGTTAATTCATACACTGTAAATGTAGATCCCGCCGCTGGTAGACTAATAAAATAGACGGATTTATCATGTATTATAATCAGTATCAGTTTTTAAAAAAATTTTATATCAATACGAATAAATACCTTCTTAAAACTTATACGAAAAAATGAATAAATAAATATTTGTTAGTCATCCGCAGTATAACGAAATATGATGTAATAATGGTTCTACTAACTTGTAGGTGTTATTCCTCGCGTCAACGCTTTTGCGCCTTCATTCTTGTATATCGACTTGAGCGTGGATAGTATATAGAAGGCTCCTTTTGGAGGATTTTGTTGATTTTGAACCTTGATTCAAAAAAAAAAATAATTAATTAATTAAAAATTTAAGTTTTTTTCTTAATGAAAAATTCTTTGAATAAATAACATACTTTAGATTTGACAACGTCGAGAGGGTAGCAACATAGCCAGTAGGAAAGTCCACCGAAAGACCCAGCAATCATTAGTTTACCTGGTGGCAAAGCATTGGGATCGGCACCTTCCGGTGTAAGTTTTCTTTTAGCGAATTCAAACCCACTGTAAAAGCCCGCGTATGCAGGTATTTCACGAAATACAGTAGCCCAAAATCCACGAAATAATCCGTTCCTTATTCCAAATTCTCGAATTAAATGTTGAGCGCAATCAAGTGGCCCTTTGTAAAGAGCACCACCACCTTTAGTTGATCCATATTGTGCTTGCATCTTTATTTTTAACAATTCTACGGGTGATGCAAGTACACTATTAACCGCTCCTGAATGTTTAAAAATAATAAAAATAAATTAAATTGATCGATGAACAAGAATCCTTTTTAGAAAATATGTGCCTACCTGCTCCTGCACCAGCAATTGCAATTTTATGAAGAGGTAATTGTTCGTCCAATGATGTGGCTTGAATCGATTTGATACGAGAGTAGGCTGCAAAAAGTAGAGCATTCACTGCACCGATACCAACTAAAGGGCTGGCCATTCCTAGATATAAATTTATGGTAATGACTTTTGTTCATATATGAAATAATTAAGTTTTGTAATTAACCTTTGTAAAGCGCTAAAAATCCTTCTTTCCTGACTGTCTGCATTAAGCAATCCATAGGACCCTTGAATTTCGTGTTTTCTATTTGAAGTCGAACCTTTTTCGTGTAAGGTACGAGATGCATTAATACCAGGGTATGTAAATTTTTTTTAAATAAGTAACAGTATTTACTTTTATAGTGTCCAAAGGTTGCCCAACAAAAACTTGCGCCTATGAATCCAAATTTGATAAGAAGCATTTTGTAATTAAGCTAAATTGTTGACGTGATTCAAAAAACCTACCATTCCAGCAAAACTAAGTAATTTTAGTATTTTTTTTGTAATAAAAATTTATCAGTAAATAACTTTGAGATACCAACTTTCCGGCTACAAAATCTTCCCAACCACTCTTTTGGGATGCGATATCGGTAATTTCAACAATTTCAGTCATCTTGCTGGAAGGTCGCTTCGAACGAAAATTGTTTTTAAATCTACTAGATAATCGACTCTCGGATTATGTAATCCATGAAAATCAATCATAGAACATGTGAATGCAATCATTTATATTTTTTGCACAACAGATACGTTACGCGTAAAGGAAAACGCGAAAATGTTTGTTATAGTGAAGTTCGTTCCTATAAAAGGTATTGCAAAACGTATGAAAATCAACTCGATTAAAGTTAATTATGTATGGATTGAAATTTCAATGATGATCCTGAATCACCATAATTTATTTCTCAAAATAGCATCATTTAGCTTAGCTAAAAATTTTTATTTAAATATTCATTATTGCTATGCTTAATCTCAAGAACAAATAATAATATAAATAATATAAATAATATACAGTGAACCTCAAGTGGAGATTAATAAAATTTTTGATGTACTGTAACAGTAATAAAACACCACTTTAAATATATTTTTACTTTTTTTGATATAAAAACTTTGATATTATTATTATTTTTTTTTTTTTGAAGAAGCAAAAGGCTATTACACTTGATTTTATTATTATAATTTTAGACTTGCAGTACAAGATTTATAACACATTTACAGTATAACATATATATCTCTTTGCTAAGAAGAGTTAAATACCAGGCTCCACAAATGTGATCTATCTTTTGTGCTCCTTAGTACTATCCAAGAATATAGAAAATGAAAGTTCAAAACCTATATTATGTCTTAAATAGTGTCTAGCTATCTAGAAAAATTAAATATCTAGCCATATAAAGATACTGTAGCCACTATATACAGGTTGACCTCCAAGTCATAACTAGTATTAGTAAGCTTGCTTTTCAAATATGATATGATATACAGCAAGTCAAAATGTGTTTCACCTTATATTTCCTCTGAATAATTGCTCAATTAGTTAAATGGCCACTATACCGATACAGACATTTTGTGAAGATTAACCTTTCATCTGATTATCTAGTATTTAACCTTTTTTACTCTTCTAGGATTGCAGCAGATTACAAGTTGATCAGGCCTATGGCAGTTGCCTACATCTGTGACAATTAGGGAAAGGAACAGCTGCTCTTCATAAAAAGCTTTATACATATAGCTACACCATTTAAGTATTTGAGTAGAATCCAGCACCAGTATAAGGCAGGAGAAAGTAAAAGAAAGATGTTTAAATGTATAGTGGTAGTTGTTAAATAAAGTTGTCAAATATAATGGAATTGGAATTTCTTATAAATGTTGTTACCTAATCTTATATAATAAGCCTATATTGTTGAAGAGGTGAGCAAGAAACTTTTGTTGTCATCACCAGCTTATATTGCAGAGGTAACTAGAATCTCTGGTCTTCATGTATTATCCTACTAGGTTCTTCAATCACCAGTATAACACCTGCACTAACCTAGCTTATTGTTAGCTACATTGGTATTGGCTGTCATATCTTTCTGGATACAGTGGGGCACAATTCCTTGAATACTTTCAGATAATAATAGTTGTACACTGGTTTCTTAGATGTATAGTAAACCTTCTTTAAATACACATCTCTCGGGACCATAAAAATTTTTTTGAAAAATGTGCATTTATAGAGGGTATGCATTTATGAAGGTAATTTTATTAATGGTTCTATGTACTTGGAACCAAGCTTGACCATGCATTTATAGAAAGTGCATTTAGGAAGGTCTCTCTGTATCTAGTTTAACCATTAACAAGTAAACAATACCAGATTTGGTAATGATAATCATATCGATCTTTTGGAGGATAAGCCATCTATTCTTTTTCTATAAGGCCATGGAAGAAAGAAAAATTTTGAAGCCCATGTCTTAAGAGAAGTTATCCATCAGGAAATTTTTTAGCAAAGATTTCCAAAGATCTTTGGGTATAGACCTTTGGAGGATCTCCTTTGTCGTTAAAAGACTCCAGAGTGAAGTTTACTATATTAAACTCCAGAGATCTTCGATTTATTTTAATAATAATAAAATATATTTATATTTACGTATTATAATCTATTAATATTCAATTTTTAATGTTTATT